TAAACTAATAATTGTGACACATCACCTCCCTAAGTTATCAGAATACACATTACCTAAGTTATCAATAGACACAGCACCCCCCCCCCCCCCAGGCCTCTTTCAACACTGTTGCTCCTAGCCAGAAGATGGATGGTCCCCTTCTACCACGTGACCAGCCAATGACCGATGGCCGTGCCATACACACGTCATCCATTCAAACACAGACTTCTATTTTTAGCAACCAATGAAAGCACACCCTGAGAGATAACTGATATAACACAATGTTTCTAACTATCTTCGCTTCCGTCTCAATATCTACTCTGCCGAATGGAGTGAAAAAAAGTCACAGGAAAAAAAAACAGAAAAATGTCAGTTTTTGCTAGGAAAAAAGTCACAGAAACAAAGTCACAGAAAAAAAGTCACAAATGTGTATTAAGAAATATTTGGATTTACTTGTTTAAAAATTGTAAAATTTTGGGTGTGTATAAATATGGGTGGTGTTTTTACATATCTATAAACTTAGAGGCATTCTTGTATTTAATAACCATCCGACTCTGATTATCACTATAAGTAAAAGTTCAAATTTAATAACATATTTATTTAAATACCTTGCTGGAAAATTAATTTTAAAAGAAATGTTGGCACATCGTTGTGTTTGGTGGCTTTTTATTGTAGGGCTTTCCACTTGGTGTATTGTTGACGTTTTGCTTCAACGACAGCCTTTGTACCGCGTCGGCTTTTTCTCCTGATACTAGGCTGTGTGATGCACTGAGTGCGATTAATGTGGGCAGTAAGGGTGGCTGAACTATTGTTAGAACGAGATGCGGACGACAAATCATATTAACTATGTCTTCTTCCCATATCACGCTGATTCAAACTTGTATTTGAAAACTGAGTAGATCATTTATTTCTATAACGGAACTTAAACCTAAATGTTTCACAAGAAATTTTTTTTTAAATGTCTAAACTGTTTCGTTAATTTAATTAATTGTATGCTGTTTTGCACTTTCTAATAACATAAAAGTATTATTAACAAATTCCGTGCAAATATACATTTGTGACTTTTTTCCTGACCTTTGTCTGGGTTTTTTCCCTGTGTTTTTTTTTACCTGTGACTTTTTTCCTATAATCGAAACATCAACTTAATGTTGGTGCTAGACTAGATCTACTGCCTTACAGAACAGAATCATCAACTTAATGTTGGTCACCATGTCATGTACACGATCACCAAGTCACCATGTCATGTACGCAGTCACCAAGTCATGTACACGATCACCAAGTCACCAAGTCATGTACACAGTCACCAAGTCATGTACACGGTCACCAAGTCATGTACACAGTCACCAATTCATGTACAGTCACCAAGTTTGTACACGGTCATATTTCAGAGTACAGCACTAATCAGCTTCTACAAAGACGATTAATTAATTAGCCGGCCATTTTTCTCTGACATGCATCAAGATCTGCCAACATGCGACACGACAATTTTTCAAGCATCGATGTTCAGTAGTGAGGGGTGGGGGCGGTGGGGGAGGGATAGCAGGACTTAGCTCCTACGTCACGCAATCTTGGCAGCAAGAGGTGGGGGTGGTGGGGAGGGGGGAGGGGGAGGGGTAATCTTGTGTTGCAAGTTAGAGGAGGCGAGCTGACCTCAAATGTTAACATCAAATGTGGACTGCTCGGCAGCCACACGCCACATCCACAACCACACGTTACAACCAAGCACCACAACCACAAACTACAACCACGTACCCACAACAATACACCACAACCACACACCACAACGATACACTACAACCACACGTCACAACCACACGCCACAATCAAGCACCACAACCACAAACTACAACCACGTACCACAACAACAGACCACAACCACACACCACAACGATACACTACAACCACGCACCACAATAACACACCACAACCACACGTCACAACCACACGCCACAATCAAGCACCACAACCACAAACTATAACCACTTACCACAACAACACACCACAACGATACACTACAACCACGCACCACAACAACACACCACAACCACACACCACACCACAACCACACACCACAACGATACACTATAACCACACACCACAACCAGGAAACATTGTATAGTTAACCGGTGTAAAACTAGGCTACATCAGCAAAAGTGTGCAGTGAAGGGAAGGGGGAGGTCTAGCCGGCACCAGCAAGTAGTCTAATGTTGTCACTAATCTAAGAATAGAACGGCTCAATATGAGACAATCACACGGCAGGTAGACGGCAGGTAGATGGGAGGGTGCTCAGTGTAAAGTCAGCAAACACCCAGACAATCACGGTTGTACAACTAGCTCCACCCTAACCCTGTACCTCGCGACCCCAGCATACATGACCCGAGCCACATGACCCCTACCAACAACACCCTTATTTTCCTATAACTCAAGACCCCTCCCCTTAACATTGCCATCTATAAAATGACACCTTGATTCTACGACCAACCCCAACCACCCCCTCCCCCACACACACAACCACAACAAAAAAAAAGCTTAAAAAAACGTTTTTACGAATTAATACATCGGAAGGTTAATGTCTTCTTATAGTAATAAACCTATTACACTGTAAGAAGGTCAATAACCTCTTACATTGCCAGAAGGTTAATGACTTCTAGTTGTGATAAGCCTATTACATCGTTAAAACATGTTACACAATTCAAAAACTCCCCCCCCCCCCAATCTTTCAAGCACCCACTTAATTACGCAATACTAAAGCTATTAGAGCGGACTTATTTTCAACTACATTTTTTCATTGCCCAGCCGCTATTTTTATACTGTTTCCAATGATGATTGATCGAACAGGGGATCAGATACAATCTGACACCCAGATGCACACAACCCAGATCAAAGCCATCGATCTCTCCACTGCCTCTGTTGTTTTTTTTTTAAACGCCGCCGCCCTAAGCCACATCAAAATCCCCCAGGGCGTCCCATTGTAAATCTGTTTCTTCGGCCTAACGAAGCTACTCATATCCTCAACACAAAAACTCTTCTGGAAATGTGGACAGATAAACAATTCTTTTTCCAAGCTAAAAATAAAATTTTCGGAGATAAGGCAAGCAGGGCGGGTTCAGTGCTAAACAAAGCCTGCACGGATATAATATTTTAACGATCGTTAAAATAAATATAGAATTCAGAAATAGCTTGGTGAATTTTCGGGAAAAATTTCCAATTAGCCGATCTTAGTTTATCTCTGTGGCGTGGTTCCTGTTGTTGCTTACACAAAATACAAATGCCCGGCTTATAAGAAGTAAACATTGTTGGCGCGCATGTGCGTGACGTCACACACATCAAACAAAAGCAAATCCGGCGAAGAGCAGACAGACAAACCAATCGTCATAGCACAACCTAATCTTTTCTTATATAATAAGCAGCTGCGTTTATTCATAGATGTATTTTTTTTTATTAATAGCATACATGTTTTTTCAGTGAGTGGCTTTAATTAAGTTATATTACATTTTGAAAACTGTTTTTTAAACACACAAATGTTGCAGGCACATTGTCAAGGAAACAAAAAGACAAGAAGACATCCCCTCCACAAAGCCAACTGAAAGCTGTTTCTGTCCCTTACCTGACGAACCCACCACCCCCACAACCTTTCCCACCCTAGAATTATAACCCCTAGCATTGACAGCCCCCCCCCCCCCCATAAACCCTACCCTACGATGATCCAAGACACGGCCCTCGGACACACATCGCGTGTGGGGATGTGCGAGCCACATGGCCCACAAAATGATTACCCATTTCATCAGGGACCCTGCATATGACAGAAGATCAATCCCATAATCAAGAGCATCAATCCCATAATACAGCAAATCAGATCCCATAATCCAGCAAATCAGATCGATCCCATAATCCAGGAGATAGATCCCAATTGTCCGGACCTTGCTCTGGACAACACTAGCAAGGCTAACAACCCACCCACTACCAAGATACGTCAATAAGGACTGACCATAAACAGAGGACTGACCATAAACAGAGGACTGACGATAAACAGAGGACTGACGATAAACAGAGGACTGACCATAAACAGAGGACTGACCATAAACAGAGGACTGACCATAAACAGAGGACTGGCCATCAACATGACCAGGACTGACCATCAACAGAGGACTGACCATCAACAGAGGACTGACCATCAACAGAGGACTGACCATCAACAGAGGACTGACCATCAACATGGCCAGGACTGCCCATCAACAGAGGACTGACCATCAACATGGCCAGGACTGCCCATCAACAGAGGACTGACCATCAACATGACCAGGACTGACCATCAACATGACGAGAACTGACCACCAACATGACGAGAACTGACCACCTAGGCCCACCAATAGGTACCACTTCGGACCACCAACAGAAACCACCTGGGTCCACCAAAATTTGACCAAAACAGGGACCACAATTGGGGACCACATAGGATCATCAAAACTGGATAAACAGGGGCCACCTCGGCCCACCCAAACTAAACTAGCAAGGACCACATCGGCCCACCCAAACTAAACTAGCAAGGACCACCACGGCCCACCCAAACTAAACTAGCAAGGACCACATTGGCCCACCCAAACTAAACTAGCAAGGACCACCTCGGCCCACCCAAACTAAACCAGCAAGGACCCCCACGGCCCACCCAAACTAAACTAGCAAGGACCACCACGGCCCACCAACTAAACTAGCAAGGATCACCTCGGCCCACCCAAACTAAACTAGCAAGGACCACATTGGCCCACCCAGACTAAACTAGCAAGGATCACCTCGGCCCACCCAAACTAAACCAGCAAGGACCACCACGGCCCACCCAAACTAAACTAGCAAGGACCACATTGGCCCACCCAAACTAAACTAGCAAGGATCACCTCGGCCCACCCAAACTAAACCAGCAAGGGCCACCTCGGCCCACCCAAACTAAACTAGCAAGGGCCACCTCGGCCCACCCAAACTAAACCAGCAAGGGCCACATCGGCCCACCAAGACTCAGGACTTACCTGTATCATGTAGAGCTGAGCTATACGATACTCGCTGACGCTCATAGGCAGAGATATTCGATACTCCTTTATCAGCATGTCGGGGCCGGCTGTGATAAGGTCTCACCCAGGAAGGATTCGATCCCCGGTCCGGGAAATTCAAGCACGCACACAAGTACTCAAAGCATGGTTAGCGGTGCCAGTCATACTAGTTGGGTCAGCCTGACATGTGTCAGTTACTGGCTCGCCAGGTGTGTGGGTAGAGACGGTATCCACGTCACATCAAGCGATGCTCTCATCGTGGCGTGTCGACGTTTGCAGGAAGGTGAGCACTTTTTGCGTGTTGCGGAAATTTATGACATTTTCCTCCCACTGACGTCACGATTTTTTATCGGCTGTCCCAGGGCTGTGATACGGTTGTCGTAGAGGGGAAGGGGGGTGTAAATTACTCCAATGGTTTTTTTTTCAGTGGATCTCACAAAATGAATCGATTCCTTCCTTTGACTGGAGTTAATGGTATCAATGTGAAGCAATGTTTTGGTGGGCCTTGGAGTCCTGAGTTCTCAGGTCAGATCCACTGTTTTCTTGATATCTGTCAACAAATAGGTTGATTAGGTTCAGTTTATTATTGTTTTCATTAGGTTCCGTTAATTACAGAGTATAAACAAATAGTCTTGATTAGGTTCCGTTAATTACAGAGTAAAAACAAATAGTTGTTATTAGATTCGGGTAATTAGAAAATAAAAACAAATAGTTTGAATAGGTTTCGCTAATTATAGAGTAAAGATGTAAATGATAAAATACTTGTTTACTTCGGTAAGACCAGCTCTAGATAAATTACTAGCTTTTAATCCCATCATGGAAAGGTAATGCTAGTGCTAGGTCTACGGTTAGAGAATGTTCAAAAGGAAATAGGCCTATTCTTAGGCACTTTTCCGATTGCCCTGTTTTACATTCTATAGAATTTCTGGCGAAAATTACGAAATACAGTATGTTTCTGTCGGACAATTCCAAGCAGTCTTTAGAATGCCGGATTTTTCACTTTTTTTCACTAGGGGTTATCAACATTGAGGGAGGGGGTGGGAGGTTAAATGACATGTAGCAATTCAACTTACGTAACGGGGGGGGGGGGTGATAAACCCAGGGGGGGGGGAGAGGATGTAGTTCTTAGAGCTGACTAAAACAACGACGGTACAGTTAGACGTGTGTGTGATGGAAGATTCTAGACGTGAGGCGATCAAACAGTTGTACCCACAGGTAATTGACCGTGGGGTGGGGCAAAGGGTAACTGACCGTGGGGTGGGGCAAAGGGTAACTGACCGTGGGGTGGGGCAAAGGGTAACTGGCCACTACGGGCGGGCCTGTTGGTCACGTGTCAATTGGACACTGGCATCACCAAAAAAATAATACGGCACTCTCAGAACGGACAACAGGAACATACTATTCGATAATTCACAAAACATATGTCGTCGGACCGACAATAAAATTGAATTTAAAAACATACGATAGGTAAAATAACATGCGCAGTTAGTTCTATGTTATCAATAAACCCGATGTGCTGAAATATTACAGACAGGAAGACTGCCGGGTTAATCACGGGAGTGACAAATCACTTCATAATATCAAAAGCTCGTTACCACAATAGCATGGATTTACAATCTAGCGCGGACACACACGCACGCACAAACAGACATACACTGCTAGCTCATGAAATGCGATACATGTGATAGCACTAAATAAAAACATACCACTAAGAGCGTGAGTATCCCATGGAGCTGCACGTGCGCTAAGGCCCCCGCGTCGTGTGAGCAGGAACAGCCCTCCAATGCGCGCGGCCTCGCCTCGACCACTGCCGGCATACGAGTGCCAGTGTTACACAACCATATCATTACCGGCCTGCTCACAGCTTTTCGTCGCAACCGCGAGTCTTTCGGACCGTCAGGATAAGGGGCGGCTTCGGTGTTGGGGCGGCTACGGTGTTGGGGCGGCTTCGGTGTTGGGGCGGCTACGGTGTTGGGGCGGCTACGGTGTTGGGGGCGGCTACGGTGTTGGGGCGGCTACGGTGTGGGGGCGGCTAAAGTCTCGGTGTGGCTATGGTGCCGAGGCAGCTAAAGTGTCGGTGTGGCTATGGTGTCAATGTGGTTATGGTGTCGGTGTGGCTAAAATGTCGGTGTGGCTATGGTGTCAGTGTGGCAAAAATGTCGGTGTGGCTATTGTGTCGATGTGGCTATGGTGTCGGTGTGGCTATGGTATCGGTGTGGCTAAAATGTCGGTGTGGCTAAAATGTCGGTGTGGCTGTGGTGTCGGTGTGGCTACGATTTCAGTGTAGCTAGGTGTCGGGACAATATGTAGCCTATACCTCCGTTGCTGTTTCCACGAAGATCAGCAACACCCCTGTGTTTACTGTCAAGTCACGAAGATCAGCAACACCCCTGTGTTTACTGTCAAGCCACGAAGTTCAGCAACACCCCTTGTGTTTACTGTCAAGCCACGAAGATCAGCAACACCCCTTGTGTTTACTGTCAAGTCACGAAGATCAGCAACACCCCTTGTGTTTACTGTCAAGTCACGAAGATCAGCAACACCCCTGTGTTTACTGTCAAGTCACGAAGATCAGCAACACCCCTGTGTTTACTGTCAAGTCACGAAGATCAGCAACACCCCTGTGTTTACTGTCAAGTCACGAAGATCAGCAACACCCCTGTGTTTACTGTCAAGTCACGAAGATCAGCAACACCCCTGTGTTTACTGTCACGCCGCTCCAACAAGTGATGCCCTCTCACGACGGAAGCCCTCAAATATCGATACCATAAGTCAAAAGGAGTGATGTGATTAATATGTCGATACTAGAGAACTTACAGATTTATAAAGATCTGCTTTAGGTATCGATCCCTTAGTACATGAAAAAGTTCCGAGGGTCCTAGGTCAAGGTGCCCTAAACAAGACAAACCCAACCCTCCCTATCCCTGCTCGGGCTCTAGAAGATCTTATTTCTGACCCGGGGCACGCGCTGGGTGTCTGGAATCCAGGATCTGGTCCAGACGCCATCTTTGTTCTCGCCAGCCCCCGTCCACGGGTCCCAAACAACCAGCACCCTCAAGAAGAAAACTCTGGGCACGGGTCCCAACAACCAGCACCCTCAAGAAGAAAACTCTGGGCACCGACTTCCTGCGCCAGTACGCGATTAGCTGAGTGGGAATTTCCGGAATACCTTTTTCTAAAGTGGGTATTCCCTGTTTATTCCCGTTGATCATCGTTTGTTCCTGTGGCCTGACGACAGAGTCAAGAATCTCTTCATTTATCACTGTACCGGGTTTTCGACAAACGTAAATTGTAAATATTCTTGCTCAAGTATTTGGTAAATGGCTGACTAATTGGAAGGGGGTGGGATAAGTCGTTCATTCAATTTTAACTGTTACAAATGGCATCAACACACCACCTAGCTTTAAATAAAAGTTTTAAAGTTTTAAAACTTTGCAACTTCCTGACCATTTAATAAAAAAAAAATGTAATGTATTATATATGTCAGCAATGACCTCATAGCCTCAAATCAAAACATTTGTTTTCAATCAATGTTTTCACAGGTATGTATTAAGACATGTTGAGGCTATTACGTTTTACACAACGGAAAACATGCACAGCAAAGACAGACGCACAGACAGACAGAGACATCAGATCCACAGACAGACAGATCGACGAACAGAAAGGCACACGCACAGACAGACAGATGGACAAACAGACTGACTCACAGATAGACAGACAAACAGACAGACGGATGGACAAACAAACTGACTCACAGACAGACAAATAGGGGGGGGGGGAGAGGCAAGATTAAGGAAACACAATCGAGTTAAAATCCACCGCCGGGTTGTTTCCGCTCTCTGACCTTGACCCCTGGGGTCACCAGCACGAGCTATTGATTTTACCGTGAGGGGCGGGGGGGGGGGGGGGTCACTCACACGTCACTGATTACTGTGTACATAAATGGTACAAGACCACAAACAACCCGGCCTAATGGTAGATCATCGTTTGGTAAAGCTCTGGTTTGATGGAACTCAGACACTGCCTGCTGGGGGTAGAGGGGCGGGGGGGTGTATTAATCGAAAGTCTATTACTCCTGGTACTTGCACACATAGCCAGGTAAAGCGACGACCATCAAACTGGCATGTCAGCACTAACTCTAGAGACCATTAGCTCCATCTAAAGCTACCGGTCCATTTAGATAACACCATTCATGTCCACATATCGCTCAATTTCTACAGCTGTCTATGTACATAATGTTTCCAGTTGGGACCTAATGTTTCCAGTTGGGACCTGATGTTTCCAGTTGGGACCTAATGTTTCCACTTGGGACCTTATGTTTCCAGTTGGGACCTAATGTTTCCAGTCAAAACATAATGTTTCCAGTTGGGACCTAAGGTTTCCAGTGGGGACCTAATGTTTCCAGTTGGGACCTAATGTTTCCAGTTGGGACCTAATGTTTCCAGTTGGGACCTTATGTTTCCAGTTGGGACCTAATGTTTTCAGTTGGGACCTAATGTTTCCAGTTGGGACCTAATGTTTCCAGTTGGGACCTAATGTTTCCAGTTGGGACCTAATGTTTCCAGTTGGGACCTAATGTTTCCAGTTGGGACCTAATGTTTCCAGTCAAAACCTAATGTTTCCAGTCAAAACCTAATGTTTCCAATCGGGACCTAAAGTTTTTTACTTGGGACCTAATGTTTCCCGTTGGGACCTAATGTATCCAGTCAAAACCTAATGTTTCCAATCGGGACCTAATGTTTTCACTTGGGACCTAATGTTTCCAGTTGGGACCTAATGTTTTCAGTTGGGACCTAATGTTTCCACTTGGGACCTAATGTTTTCAGTTGGGACCTAATGTTTCCAGTTGGGACCTAATGTTTTCAGTTGGGACCCATTGTTTCTAGTTGGGACCTAATGTTTCCAGTTGGGACCTAATGTTTCCAGTTGGGACCTAATGTTTCCAGTCAAAACCTAATGTTTCCAATCGGGACCTAATGTTTTCAGTTGGGACCCATTGTTTCTAGTTGGGACCTAATGTTTCCAGTTGGGACCTAATGTTTCCAGTTGGGACCTAATGTTTCCAGTCAAAACCTAATGTTTCCAATCGGGACCTAATGTTTTCAGTTGGGACCCATTGTTTCTAGTTGGGACCTAATGTTTCAAGTTGGGACCCATTGTTTCTAGTTGGGACCTAATGTATCCATTTGGGACCTAATGTTTCCCGCTGTTAGTCGCCTTTGTTTACTTTTAATTTGCCGTTTACCGGAGAACGTGCAAGTTTGTATTTGCACAGGCGGCTGACGTCTGCCGGCGGGCGATCTGCAGACGACTGTTGACACAGGAGGAAACAAGATGGGGGGGGGGGGGACATCAGATGGAACAATCAGAGTTCGTCAGATCCAGGTAAAGGACGCTAGTCACGACACATGTAATAGGTAATTGTTTCCTGATATAAAGACACTGGACACGACACATGTAATAGGTAATTGTTTGCCTGATATAAAAACACTGGTCACGACATATGTTATAGGTAATTGTTTTCCTGATATAAGACACTGGTCACGACAC